CAAATCTAACTTGTTTAAATTTGAAAAAGTTTACACGTATTGACATTGATCGTCCGAATGTTTTTATACCTACGACTTTTTCTTCTTCAACTCTGATGGAGTTGCATATCAATGTGGCTCGTTTCGGTGATTGTCTTTATTTACTCGATGGTCGTTTCGATCAACTTCGTTCATTCTATGTTAAAATTTCTATAATTTCCCGCCATCTGATGAATCCATCGTCAATAATCGATAATAAAGTAGGTTACTTTGGAAAAAAAACAAATAACTGTTTTATCGAAATAATTTTGACTAGATAATATTATTTTATTTTTCTAGAAAGAGTTGCCTAATTTGAAATGTTTTTCATTGATTTCTAATTGTGGAACAAGTGATTATGATGAATTAATCTTGCCACTTTTACATCGAATGTCAAATCTTGAAAGACTAACTTTATATCTTTTGCTCGACCGTTACACATCATTTATCGATGGTAATCATTTGAAAAAAGATATTATCAACCAATTATCACGATTAAATAAATTCTTATTTAATATTTATTCATTCATAAACATTAACGATTTAATGTATCAACCATCAAATGAAGATATTCAATGTACATTCAAAAATTTCAATGATTATAAAATAATTTCTTCTGTGGATTATTTTCCAAAAGAAGGAAATAGTCTATGTCATATATACTCACATCCTTATAGACTGAAGCATTACGACCATATAACAAATAATTTTCCAGGTGGATTATTCAAATGCGTTAAAAAAATATCGCTATTTGATGAACGTCCTTTTGAACATGAATTTTTTATTCGACTTACTAAGGCATTTCCACTTCTAAAGAAATTGCGTATATCAAATGAGGAACCACAAAATTACAAAAATTGTCAAAACTCAAATAATGATAATCGATATTTGTCAATCATTGAATACCCTCATCTTACTGAACTGTCTCTCCACACTATACATGATGATTACGCCGAGCAATTTCTGGTCGATACAAAATCATGTCTATTGAATAATATAACGCTTCAAATCAATTATGAATGTCTACAAAGAGTGACACACAAGTTTACAAATAATGCAACTCGAGTCAATTGTGCTAAATTAACATATCTTCTAATTTCTCAGTATTGGAGATATCCGAAACTTTGTGATACCTATTTTCCTCATGTAAAAAACGTGCTTAGTTAATTATTGAAATAAAACAATTAATAAGATGATTAAAATATTAAAAGTTGATATGTTTAAATAAGCAAAAAGAAATTCAAGCAAAAAAGATTTATATGCCATTGGAAGAAAAAGATTATTTATTTTCAAATATTTCTGACTCAAATAAAGAATTTTCTTTCTTTTATAAAATACTTAGTCATATGTTTGTAGTAAGGATATTAAATAAGTTTTCATTTTGAATCATCTTTCATTTATATTACTCAATTAAAATATGAGAAAAAAATCAATCGAGTTTCATAGAATATCGTCCTATCAATTCTTCGATTGTCAAATCAACAAGTATTTATTTTAATTCCTTGAAAATAATATTTACCATTTTAATTAGATCTAGTTTCTGATATAGATCACAGATTTGAGTACTGAAGAACAGTTAAGTGCGATAGGCAAAATCCTTTTGATGGTCTTTCTATTGATAGTAACATTCGTTTAAAAACTTATCGATAGTGTCATCAATATTAATTTACTAGTAAGTTTTTTTTTTATTTCTCTAACATATGATTTCTTCGATAAAATTCTGAAAATGTTCCAAAAAAATATGCATACCAAAGAGAAAAAAATTGTGTCGACAAAAAAAGAAAAAAGTTGTGTTGGGCTACTTAAGAGGGTTTAAACAAAATGGGAGAATATCCGTACAAAATGTATGCTGATAAGTTTATAACATTTTGCTAATAGATGAATATGATCAAACTATCATGTGCGATTTCCCAACTCAAAAATGACATGAATACAAATACATAGTCAATGTATTCATTCGCATTTCCTCTCTTCTCTCTTAAACAAATGAATTATCATTTACTTTGCTTATATCTATCTTCAATATAGCACTCAACATAGTGGTGACTTTTTCATTGAAACGATGATTGCCGAATAGAATAACCATTATTCAATGAACACAATAAGCGACAACGATTGTAATATAAATAGATGCTATTCGGTCATGTTTGTTTTATCTAAGCATGTCATTTTATTTCTTTCGTTTTCGTCAATAAATCGATAAGTATGATGGCTGACAACATGGAACAATTTGAATATTCATGTTATAATAGTATTTCAAATTGGCTAAATGTGCACTTTTTCGATACAATTTTTCTATTGATTTGGCTTGCGATCATTATTGTATTTACATGTCCCCATCAATTATTGATGTTTGTGTCCCCTTATGAATATTACGAGCACTTTAATGAAGGATCAGTAGATACTCGTGTTCGTCGTTTCCTTTTATTCATTATTTTAGAACTTGCATTTATGTCCACTTACATCTTTTGTGCTTTAGTTTTGAGATGGGTATTTAATATTGGTCCAATCACACCAATGGTATTTAATTGTTGGATGATTGAATTGAGGCATGCTATGGTCCAATAATAATTGAGATTCTTGTGTATTTTATCTACAGATATCCTTTTATTGAAGAATCAGACATTATCAATGAATCATTCCATGTTCAAGTTGCATGCATTATCAAATTAATTTTATTTTTGATCAAACGTTATCTAGAATTCTAGCCGACTTCTGAATTCAACAACTTGCAAATTCGTTCATTCTATCATGGATGCAACATATCTAGTCGACATAATAACTCTAATTTTAAACCCTTGGACTTTCCCTTATATCATTTCTAAAATTTGAAATCATATTAACTTTTTCTTAAATTTGTACTTGTTGTTTCACTTTGTTTTGAAATAAACAAATAAATATTTAATTATTTATATTAAGTTATTTCGTATGTTGTGTGATGACTTACGATACTAAAGCTATTGAAATATTCATGGTATCATTTTGCTTTCAATATGTGTGGTATACAGCAGCTTTATGAAAAGTCTTTGAAATAAGAAAAAGTCCTTTTGACTTTTTTAAAATGCATTCATCAAACCAATATTTATGCATCATTTTTTTTTCTCTCAAAAAATGAAAAATGTAGTTTTAAGTGATAACAATAACAGTAAATAGCAAGAAAAGAAAAACAATAATCAATGACCAAAAACAAAACAATACTACATATAAATAAAAAAAAGAAACTCCAAAACGACGAGTGATAATAAAAATCAATCATTGAACTTATGCATATGTTTAACTCAAATAACTGGGCATCTTGATACTAAAAGAAATAAAAACTTAATAAGACATTTTTGTTTAATATTAACTTACCGAATAAAAATTTTAGTAGCACAATATGCGACAAGAATGAATATAAATGAGCAAAGTATGATTAATATTCGATTAAGACATGGCATATTTAGTTTATTTGTTTGATCAAGAAAATTAAATCCAAATCACCTAATGTTAGCATAAATGAAGCAGCATAAGACCTTCCATTATATATTGACCATTAATACGCCATGCCATAAAAGCAACTGGTCTATGATGTCCATATTCATCAGTTATACTACGTAAAGAAAAATTTGATTTAATTTGCAATTAAATTTTTTTATTATTTTACTGATCAACACTTGATGGTTCAACAATAATATCATAAATTAACATCGGCAGTTAAAAGAAAATAAGAGATGAGTAAACCAAATAAAACTTTAGTAATAAAAAAAGAGAGAGTTTAATAGATTGAAATGAATTCATCTTAAGTTGTATTCGAAGATTTTCGAATCCATGATGACTTTTTTAATTTTATAATTTGAACAATTGAACAACAATAAACGAAAGTCGATAAAACTTTCCATTACCTTACTTTTTTAATTATCAAAGGAAATAAATCTGAAAGAAATAAAAATTGTCTGCGATAAAAAATAATCATTTTCCTTCCACTATTACACTAATAATTGATGATGATTTAACATTTCTAAGATAAACAAGATGAAATTGTCTTTTTCATTTTGTAACACAGAATAGAAATCTAAAGATAATAATAAAGTTTTTTTTAGATTTCGATCATCTGATATGGGTCAAAAAAAAGAAACAAAGGACATCTCAGTTTCAGTTGCAACAAAAAAGAAAGACTTCAACTGGTACTGCTTCCACAACAGCAACAGTAACCACGTGTGCCAAAAATACTACAAAACCAGCTAGTACTAGTATAACAACTACTACCAAAGTTATTACAAAAGAACGTTAAGAAGTGTTCAAACAAAGGCACTCAAAGCTAAACGAGTTGTTTGGTAAATAAAATCCATCTTATAGACATATTTAACTCTTTATTCTTATTTAGTGGTACTCTATTAAAACATAAACGTAAAATTCGTACAAAACCAACATTTCGTCATTCATTTACACTTAATATATGATGCATATAAATAATAAACTTCATATTTTGTATATTAATTATTAAAAGAATTTTCTACTTGGAAAGTCATGAAAACAAAAACGTCAGTGACGTAAGGACTTGAAGTTATTTCCTTTAATTATAACCTTAACTTGAACTTAAGTATAAGACTATTGAACTTTCTTTTTTTTGTGATAAGATTCAATACAGATTTTATTATTGAAATTAATAGATAAAAATAAGTCGAGCTGAAAAACAAATGTATTTTGTACTGACGACCTTTAAGCATAGGATAGTTGTCTTGTTTATAGAACGTTTTTTTTTTATTATTTATAATAAGGTAATCAAGAATGTCCAATGTCTCCGGTTTGAATTACATAAGGCGACATATTATCACATTTTCCTAGAGAACCAAATATAAAATTTTTTTTTAATGTAAGATCATTTAGAGAAAAAAAAATACAATAGAAAAGCTTATCTTTTCTATCCGAAGAGATATAACAGAATTAAATAATTGAATTAAAATGATGAAAAAAAAATTTTTTTGTTGTTGTTATATTTCTAAATGAATAATTTATCATTATCAGATGATTTAACATTAGCACAGCATGAAATTGATGATCTATGGCATAATATAAATAGTTCACCATCCGATCATGTTTTTTATTGGATATCAATTGCAAGTTTTACATTTGCTATATTAGGTTCAATAAGTAATTTAATGACGTTTGTTGTTTTAAATCATTTAAGTAGTCATTTATCAACATTTGCTTATTTAACTGGTTTATCTTTATCTGATATGATAACATGTATATCAATAATAATGACACATTTATTTGATTTTATTGTTCAAACACGTCGAAGTACATCAATAACAATATTTTTTCGTTATATTGAAATAATATGTGAGGATTAGCTGCTGGTAGTCGTGTATTATCATTATGGATATCAACAGCAGTAACAATGGATCGTTGGATGTTGATATGTTATCCAATATATAGTAAAAAATTTTGTACATTAAAACGAGCTAAAATTATTGTACGTACATTATTTATAATTGCATGTATTTATTCAATTCCATTATTTTTTGAATATGAAATAATTCCAATGTCAAGTGTTTTACAAATGATTCATATTGATAATCAATCATCATCATCATCATCATTATTAATTGATGAAGAATTTCTTCGAAATAGTATGCTTGTTACTAAAGGTTATAGTGATTTAGCTAAACGAAGACTTTATCGTTGAATTTATATGTTTTTTAATGCTATATCTGTTTATACATTACCAACAATAACAATTGCTTTTTTTGATATACAATTAATTCGTGCTTTACATCGTGTTAAATCACATAGAAAACGCGTTTAAGAGCAAAAAATTCTATAAATGGAAATAATCAACATCATTCTCATAAACAAAATATTCTGTAACAATTATGGTTATAACAATTGTATTAAGATTAGTTATATGTCGAAGTCCAACAATAGTTCTTTGAGTTTTATGGTCATTTGAATTAACAATAAAAATTTTGTTTTGATTCATCATTAAGTTCAGTTGTACGACGTTTTCATAATATAGCAAATATAATAGCTATTATAAATGCAGCAACAAATTTTTTACCATTTTGTGTATTTGGACAATTATTTTGTGTTGAATGTTTAAATATTTATTGTTGTAGAAAAATAACAAATAAACAATTTTCACAGGAAATAAAACGAAAAGATAATAATGATAATTATGAAAATTTATTAAATAAACAAAAAATAATAATATTAATATTAATATTCAAAAAGCAACTCAAATTCATAATGAACATTTACAAAATATTTTACCATTAAATTGTGAAACAACA